AGGCTGGTCTTGAACTCCTGGGCTCCAGGGATCTCTCCCACCTTGGTCTCACAAAGTACTAGGATGACAGGCGTGAGCCACTGCGCCAGCCACTTTTGTTCACACACCCTTTTATATCTATATCACATACCCTGAACTTGCTACAATGACATATATTATGTATTTTAGAACAAAATTTAAGTAAAATCAAAGAAAAGGTTGGCAACATAATGACTGGATTGCTAGACTTAGCCTAATAATTGGCTCAGGTTTCACAGAACTGGACTGTGAAACAAGGTCCAGTTTCCTTTCTGTGTCTATCAGTCACCAACATGGCTGGTCTGGGATGCTTTTTCTTTGGGGGTCTTAGAAAACTACTAAAACCCAAAGAAGGTATCAAGATATTGCCTGGTAATATTTTTGCAATTCTGGGAACATATATAACAAATTGCATCCCACTTCAGTATTAAAATAAGTATAGAGGCCAGACGCAGTGCCTCACACTTGTAATCCAAGCACTTTGGGAGGCCGAGGTGGGCGGATCACCTGAGGTAGGAGTTCAAGACCAGCCTGGCCAATATGGTGAAACCTCATCTTTACTAAAAATACAAAAATTAGCTGGGCATGGTGGCAGACTCCTGTAATCTCAGCTTCTCGGGAGGCTGAGGCATGAAAATCACTTGAACCTGGGAAGCAGAGGTTGCAGTGAGTCAAGATTGTGCTACCGCACTCCAGCCTGCTGCCTGAGTGACAGAGCAAGACTCCATCTCAAAAATATATATAATATAAAATAAAATAAGCATAGAGATCATAAAGAAACAAATTTGAAGTCACAAAATCTGCATTTCTTGAACTGGTTTCAATGAAACTGTTATCTATTTTGTATTCACTACAATAACAAGGAGACAACAGAGCATACGAGCCAAGATTCAAATCTCAACTTTTACATTCACTGGTTGAGTGACTTTAGATAAGTTTCTTAGTTTCTCTGTGTCTGAATTTCAAGGCAGTAATCAGAGAACCAATCTCATGGGCTTCTTTGAATATTGAAGAAGAGCACACATCCAAAACAGAAAGGACTTGGCACTTCAGCAAGCCCTCAAAGGTTAACAAATACATTTTTAAGATATTCTAGCTACTTTTAAAAGTTTTTGGCATTTAGGATAATATAATATATTGGATTTTTGATTTAATTATTTAATTTTTTTCAGACATAGTCTCACTCTGTCACCCAGGCCGGAGTGCAGTGGCATGATCTTGGCTCACTGCAACCTCCACCTCCCAGGTTCCAGTGATTCTCCTGCCTCAGCCTCCCAAGTAGCTGGGACTACAGGAGCCCACCACCACACCCGGCTAATTTTTGTATTTTTAGTAGAGATGGGGTTTACCGTGTTGGCCAGGATGGTCTTGGACTCCTGACCTCAAGTGATCAGACTGCCTTCCCAAAGTGCTGGAATTACAGGCGTGAGCCACCACACCCAGCCAATTTAACGTGTGTGTGTGTGTGTGTGTGTGTGTGTGTCTGTGCGACGGAGTCTCAGTCTTGTTGCCTAGGTTGGAGTGCAATAGCACGATCTTGACTCACTGCAACCTCTCTGCCTCCCAGGTTCAAGCAATTCTCCTGCCTCAGCCTCCCAAGTAGCTGGGATTACAGACGCCCACCACCACATCTGGCTAATTTTTTTGTATTTTTAGCGGAGACAGGGTTTCACCATGTTGGCCAGGTTGGTCTTGAACTCCACCTGACCTCAGGTGATCCGCCCACCTCAGCCTCCCAAAGTGCTGGGATTACAAGCATGAGCCACTGCACCCAGCCAATTTAATTAAAATTTACATGTTTCATTCAATATATATTATTATTATTATTATTTTGAGATGGAGTCTCGCTCTGTTGCCCAGGCTGGAGTGCTATGGCATGGTCTCAGCTCACTGCAACCTCCGCCTCCTGGGTTCAAGAGAGTCTCCTGCCTCAGCCTCCCAAGTAGCTGAGATTACAGGCATGCACCTGCCACCACGCCTGGCTAATTTTTTGTATTTTTAGTAGAGATGGGGTTTCACCATGTTGGCCAAGCTTGTCTGGAACTCCTGACCTCGTGATCCACTTGCCTCGGCCTCCCAAAGCGCTGGGATTATAGGTGTGAGCCACCGTGCCTGGCCTCTGATTATTTTTAAATTGAGCAAATTATATTTTTAAGTCTGTAAGTTTTGGGTTATTAGTTATGAAAGTAGGTACATATGCACTTAGTGTTTTTATTGCAGAAATGTTAATTAGTATTGATAGATGAAGTAATCAGGGATCAAACAAGGTAGAAACGAGTATTCTTTCTCTTCAACCAGAATGAATCTTTCCGTACAGCTCCCTGAATCCTCACCCTTCCTGCCTCCTGCTCCTACTTTTGCTCCTCCTTCTACCAGAAGCTGCTCCCCTCCACCAGAGCTCTAAATCACAACCCCTCTGCTTTCACTGGGGCTTGGAGGCTGCTACTTCTAGACTCTCCCTCCCACTGCATCAACCCTGTCCTCCCTCACCCAACACCCTGAGTAATAAGCTCCCTCTTCCCCCAGCCTCTCTGTTCCCAGCTATTTCTTTGTTCCCCATCTCAACAAAAATTGTCCAGGTTTTCCCATCCAGAAGCATCAGTTCTACTTTCTAAAAACATCCACTAAACATATTCCACAGGCATCCCATTTAAATTTTTCAACTCACTCCAACCTGGTTTCTAAGAATCTCACTCCTGCAACTGAACTGCTTATGCTAAAGCTAGCAGTGAGCCCTGTGGTTCACAAACCAAGGAGCTATTTTTTGCCCTCATCTGTCTGGACTGCTGGACAGAATTCCCCATAACAGATAATACCCTCCTTGTAGCTTGGGGTGGGGGTTGGTGCCCAGCGTGGTAGGGGTGTGAGTTGAAGACTCCTTTAGGAAATTTTCACTTAGCCGGGCGCAGTGGCTCATGCCTGTAATCCCAGCACTCTGGGAGGCCAAAGCGGGCGGATCACGAGGTCAAGAGATTGAGACCATCCTGGCCAACATGGTAAAACCCCGTCTCTACTAAAAAAACAAAAAATTAGCGGGGCGTGGTGGCACACGCCTGTAAGTCCCAGCTACTTGGGAGGCTGAGGCAGGAGAATCGCTTGAACCCAGGAGGTAGAGGTTGCAGTGGGTTGAGGTTGCGCCACTGCACTCCAACCTGGGTGACAGAGCGAGACTTCATTTCAAAAAAAAAAAAGAAAGAAAGAAAGAAAAGAAAATTTTCACTTGAACTCCCAAACACTGTGAGAAGACACAATTACCTTTTGAAAATGTTTTTCCTTTTACCTTGTAAAGAACACTGATCAACACTAAACTAACGTTAAATTATTTATTATATAACCATTAGAATGGCGGGGCAAGGTGGCTCATGCCTGTAATCCCAGCACTTTGGGGGCTGAGGCGGGTGGATCATGAGGTCAGGAGTTCAAGACCAGCCTGGCCAAGATGGTGAAACCCCGTCTCTATTAAAAATACAAAAATTAGCAGAGAGTGATGCCGGGCGCGATGCCGGGCGCCTGTAATCCCAGCTACTCGGGAGGATGAGGCAGAGAATTGCTTGAACCCGGTAGGCGGAGGCTGCAATGAGCTGAGATTGGGTCACTGCACTCCAGTGTGGCTACAGAGCGAGACTCCCTCAAAATAAATAAATAAATAAATAAATAAATAAATAAATAAATAAAACCATGAGAGCATTATTTAAAAGCTGGAGTTTGCAGTTACTTAAACCATTACAGCTTTAAGAACACTTGCCCACACACACATCCATTTCCCTGTCCCCGTCTTTCATAGCACATACGGAACTGGGGGCTCAGCCTCTTGATCCCCAGGCCAGCAGGCTTTCCACAAGCAATGCCATCCCTGCCTGAGATTCCCTCAGGCCCCAGCCTTAAACGGAATGCCCAGAGACCCACGAAGAACTGTGCAACCACCTGGCTCCTGCCCTGGCTAAAAAGAGAGCAGCTGATCAGGTGCATGCCTTGTGGAGCTGACCCTAGAACTGGATTTTCAACAGCATGCATCCACATCACCTGGAGGTCTTCTTAAAACACGGGTTTCTGTGCCTAACCCCCAGAGTTTCTGATTCTGTGGATGTGGGGTGGGTGACAGAGTTTTTGTTGTTGTTGTTTGTTTGTTTGTTTTTGAGACAGAGTCTTGCTCTGTCGCCCAGGCTGGAGTGCAATAATGGAGGAATCTCTGCTCACTGCAACCCCCGCCTCCTGGGCTCAAGCGACTCTCCTGTTTCAGTCTTCCAAGTAGCTCAGTTAATTTTTTTTTTTGAGACGGAGTCTGTTTCTGTCACCCAGGCTGGAGAGCAGTGGTGGATCTCGGCTCACTGCAACCTCCACCTCCCAGGATTAAGCGATTCTCCTGCCTCCACCTCCCTAGTAGCTGGGATTACAGGCGCGCACGCCAGGCTAATTTTTGTATTTTTAGTAGAGACGGGTTTCACCATGTTAGCCAGGCTGGTCTCAAACTCCTGATCTCAAGTGATCCGCCCGCCTCGGCCTCCCAAAGTGCTGGGATTACAGGCGTGAGCCACCGCGCCTGGCAGTTTGTGTTTTTAAGGAGTTCTCAGGTGATGCTGATTCTGCTGATCGCGGGACTCCGCTTTGAGATCAGCTCTCCTAGAGTATCTAAGGGACGGGGCAGACCCGCAAAAGAGATTTAGTGGAAGATGGTCCCCTAGAGGAGCTGCCCTGGGATTCCCGGGACTTCTAAACCTACAGTTCACAAATGTCCTAGATTTTCAGCGTTTGGTTGCTTCTAGCCACAATCTTCCTTTCCAACCACATCTTGCTCTTTCTACTCACAAACCAGGAGGCACACCCAGGGTTTTTTGTTTTTAACTTGGTGATTTGCAGAACTGTCCTAGGCCTTCAGACTAACGAACTGGCGTGATCCTGAAAGATCCCGGAAGCGAAACTCACCTTTCCGGGCACCTGAGTGAAGGAAGCTTTTCCCTACCAGGGCCCCTGAAGACACTCACCTCGATTTCCGCGGATCCGAAGCTGGAAAGACACTGTCGCGATCAGGTGCATCGCAAGGGTCTGGAGAAAGGGCCATCCATAAATGAAGAGCAGGACTCCGCATTCTGAGACCGTGCCAATCACAAATAAAACTCGAAACAGCCTCCGGAAGGCCGACAGCATTTCGCGATTCTCGCCTGGGAAAGGAAGGGGGCGCTAAGGCACGAGCAGCATCTCCCGGCACCGCAGGGCCCGCCCGCGGGAGGGGACCAGGCACCACCGGAGAAGCGAGGTTTAGGACGCCAAGGAAAGGGCCACTGCGGGTCGGGGTCAGCCCAGACTGGACCAATGCACAGTCTAGGTGGATTAACGCCCCACTGCGAGAAGTGGGTGTTATGCCCAGACCGTTTGTTCTCCAAAGAAGACCGCCAGAGTCCAATGTCAAAGCCAAGCGGCAAGGATCTTTATTACAAGTTCGAACCTGGTCCCTCCATTCTACAGCATACAAGAGAGGGCCACGAACAATGCGAGCGTTTGCTTTTTATAGCCCGAAAGTTACAGGGGAACAAAGAAATTCTTTTGGCTCCCGCGCTTTCAGTGGAACCTTGAACGGCTGTCTCCTTATCGGAGGCTTTCCAGGTGGTGTTTATACTGGGCTCAGGGAGTTTGAGAGATATATGGCGATATGTGGTGGGATGGGAGGATGGAATGTGTTTGTACTAGGCTCAGGGAGTCTTGAGCCCGGGGCTAGAGGAATGCGCCCAGCTCCTTTCATGGGCACGGGACCACATGCAGCTGGCAAGACCTCCCAGGCTCAAGCTCCGGACTGGGTCACCCAACAACGGCGATAACATCCACGACTCGACGTAAACCAGCTCTGGGCCCTGATCGTTCTCCAATAACCGACTGGCACTGAGGACGTGACCAAACGACAAGAACCGGCGGAGAGGACCCAGAAAGCGGAGCAGCAGCCCGCAGCCCGCCTCCAGGAAAGCCCGAGGCACTGGCGCAGAAGGGCCTCGGCTCTGCGACCCAATTACACCGCCTGTTTACCCCGCCCGACCCGCCTCTTCCGCGGCTCGCTCCTCCCACCCGCACCCGAAGGTGCCGTCCCGCCACGGACTCGCTCGCCCTCCGTTTCTTCGATCCTTTAGACGACTCTTTACCTTTCAGGGATGCTCTCCGCCACCGCCCCTGTCGTGTGGTTGCCCTCGCTGCAGTCCAAGGGCCTGGAACACTACCCAGGACTGCCAGGCCGGCGTTTTTCAGGGGCTCTAGCGGACGGCGCGTCCGGCAGACGGTTTCTGGGGCTGGAGCCAGAAACGCCGGGGCTGGGGGCTCACCGGCTGCCAAGTAGAGGGCGTCGAAAATGGGGCTGGGGTGTGGGCGGCGGAAAATGGAACCCCCGTCTCCTCTGAGGAAGCCACGATGCATCCTCAGAGCTCCGGTGCTCCCGGGCCGCCTCTCCCTGCCTCCGGCTCCGCGCTCCCCGCCCTTTTGGGGAACCTGCGAACAGGCCCTGGTCCCGGCGGCGGAACTCAGACCCTTGTGGGCTGCGCGCCTTCAGCTGGCTGTAGGCTTAGCTCGTGACCCCCTACGAGAAAACTGAGACTCCCGAACAGAAATGGCTTGAGGACTGGGCAAGAAATATACAAAATAAGCCTGGAGCACATTATAGTGCCAGAAAATAAAGTGCTCAAAAAAAAAAAAAAAAAAGGTGATGGGGTGGCTGGGCGCTGTGGCTCACGCCTGTAATCCCAGCATTTTGGGCGGCCAAGGCGGGTGGGTCACCTGAGGCCAGGAGTCTTCAGGACCAGCCTGGCCATCATGATGAAATCTCATCTCTACTAAAAATACAAAAATTGGCCAGGCATGGTGGTCCACACCTGTAACTCTAGCTACCTGGGGGCTGAGGCAGGAGAATCACTTGGACCCGGAGGCGGAGGCTGCAGTGAGCCAAGATTGTGCCCTTGCACTCCAGTCTGGGCAGCAGAGCAATACTCTGTCTCAAAAAAAAAAAAAACAAAAGCGTGATGGGGGTATGTCAAAGGAACAAAAGAAGCAGCTGGAAAAGCTCTCAAAAGCCAAAACTGGAATAATTTTTTTTTTTTTTTTTTTGAGACGTAGTCTCACTCTGTCGCCCAGGCTGGAGTGCAGTGGTATGATTTGGGCTCACTGCAACCTCCACCTCCCAGGTTCAAGCGATTCTCCTGCCTCAGCCTCCTGAGTAGCTGGGACTATAGGCGCCCGCCACCATGCCCGGCTAATTTTTGTAGTTTTAGTAGAGACGGGGTTTTGCCATGTTGGCCAGGCTGGTTTAGAACTCCTGACTTTGGTATCCTCCTGCCTCAGCCTCCCAAAGTGCTGGGATTACAGGCGTGAGCCACCGTGCCGGGCCTGAAATAATTTAAAAAATAAAGTATTGGATTATAACAAAAATGTAAAATGAATATCAACGATCTGAGAGTGAAGGTGCATTTAAAAAAAAAGAATATCCAGGGCCGGGCGCGGTGGCTCAAGCCTGTAATCCCAGCACTTTGGGAGGCCGAGACGGGCGGATCACGAGGTCAGGAGATCGAGACCATCCTGGCTAACACGGTGAAACCCCGTCTCTACTAAAAAATACAAAAAACTAGCCGGGCGAGGTGGCGGGTGCCTGTAGTCCCAGCTACTCAGGAGGCTGAGGCAGGAGAATGGCCTAAACCCGGGACGCGGAGCTTGCAGTGAGCTGAGATCCCGCCACTGCACTCCAGCCTGGGCGACAGAGCCAGACTCTGTCTCAAAATAATAATAATAATAATAATAATATCCACGAGTTCATATCAGTATAAATAAATCCATAAATTAATATATGAAGAAAAGATGAATCTCCCGTGCAGAAAAATTTTAAATAAATCATGTAGATACTTCATCCTAAGAGAGGAAGAGCATAACTCCTCACTCCTTAGGTGTAGGCGGTGCCTGTTGATTTTCTTCAGAAGAGTACAGAAAGAAGAAGGGGAGGGGAAGAGTAATTTTACAGTGGAGAATCCTGACAAACGCTACTTTAGCCAGGTGATCAATGTGAACAGTCATACAACATGCTGATAGTGTGTACCCTTGATATGATGTGATGAAAACGGTACTTTAGGCCTGGCGCAGTGACTCACACCTGTAATCCTGGCACTTTGCAAAACCTGAGACAGGCAAATTGCTTGAGGCCAGGAGTTTGAGACCAACCTGGCCAACATGGTAAAACCACATCTCTACCAAAAATACAAAAATTAGCCCAGCATGGTGGTGCACACCTGTAGTACCAGCTACTCAGGATGCTGAGGCACAAGAATCGCTTGAACCCAGGAAGTGAAGGTTGCAGTGAGCAAGATCATGCCACTGCACTCCAGCCTGGGTGACACAGCAAGACTGTTTCAAAAAAAGAAAAGCAATACTTTATCTCTGTGATCTTCCTCTCCAAAAATCTAAAATCTGAGCCTAATCATAAGAAAATAATCAGGCTGGGCCTGGTGGCTCACGCCTGTAATCCCAGCACTTTGGGAGGCTGAGGCAGGTGGATCACCTGAGGTCAGAAGTTCGAGGTCAGCCTGGCCAACATGGTGAAACCCCATCTCTACTAAAAATACCAAAAATTAGCCAGGCGAAGTGGCGGGTGCCTATAATCCCAGCTACTCAGGAGGCTGAGACAGGAGAATCACCTGAACCCAGGAGGCAGAAGTTGCAGTGAGCCGAGATAGCGCCATTGCGCTCCAGGGTGATCAACAAGAGCGAAACCCCATCTCAAAAAAAAAAAAAAAAAAAAAAAAAGAAAGAAAGAAAAGAAAAAGAAAAAGAAAAAAAATCAAACAAATTCCATTAGAAGGGCATCCTAAAATGTACCTAACCAGTAGTCTTCAAAACTGCCAAGGTCATTAAAGACAAAGAATGAGAAAATGTCATAGGCAAGAAGAGCGTAAGGAGAAAAATGACAATTTAAAGTGGTAATCTGAATGGGATCTTGGAACAGAAAAAAAGACATTCGGTAAAAATGTAGAAAATCCGAGTAAGTATGGGCTGGGCGTGGTGGCTCACGTTTGTAATCCCAGCATTCTGGGAGGCCGAGGCAGGCAGATCACCTGAGGTCGGGAGTTCAAGACCAGCCTGACCAACATGGAGAAAGCCGGTCTCTACTGAAAATACAAAAATTAGCCGGGCGTGGTGGCACATGCCTGTAATCCCAGCTACTCGGGAGGCTGAGGCAGGAGAATCGCTTGAACCTGGAAGCCAGAGGTTGCAGTGAGCTGAGATCGCACCATTGCACTCCAGCCTGGGCAACAAGAGCAAAACTCCATCTCAAAAAAAAAGAAAAGAAAAGAAAAAAAGAAAATCTGAGTAAGTATGAACTTTATCACTATTGGTTATTAATTATAAGAAATGTATTTGTTAACTATGTATATGATACACTTAATAAAATGGAATGTTATTAGGCCGGGCTTGGTGGCTCACGCCTATAATCCCAGAACTTTGGGAGGCTGAGGTGGGCGGATCACGAGGTCAGGAGTTCAAGACCAGCCTGGCCAACAGAGTGAAACCCCGTCTCTACTAAAAATACAAAAATTAGCCAGGTGTGGTGGCATGCGCCTGTAGTCCCAGCTACTCAGGAGGCTGAGGTGGGAGAATTACTTGAACCCGGGAGGTGGAGGTTGTAGTGAGTGGAGATCACACCACTGCACTCCAGCCTGAGTGACAAAAAATAAATAATATGGGATGTTATTACCAGGGGAAACTGGAATTATGTAGTATGGAATGGTACTGTCTGCTCAATTTTTCTATAAATTTAAAACTTTTAAGTGAAGTGTGTGGTCTGGGGATGAAATTGGGCCCAGGGACCGCTCCGTCCTCCTTTCCCCATCCTTACCCCTGCTTCCCAATAACCTCTGAAGCACTAGGTCCCATAGGCCAGGCTGACTCCCTGCGCCCATGGTGTCTGCAGACTGCTGTCTCAGGTTCCTAACCAGCCCAGGGGGTCAAGGAACAGCCTGGGCATGTGGTGTGAGATCAAGCCCCAGATGCACAACATCCACCTGTGCAAAGACAAACATGGCAAGACTGGGCTGCAGCTGCAGACCACCAACAAGGGGCTCTTTGTGCAGGTGGTGCAGGCCAACACCACTGCATCCCTCATGCTGCTGTGCTTTGGGAACCAAATCCTACAGATTGATGGGCATGACTGTGCCAAGTGGAACATGGGAAAAGCCCATCTGGCAGAGATGAGAGGGAATTGGCCAAGAAGATTGTTATGGTCATTCAGGACAGGACAGTCCAGTGGATTGTCACCATGCACAAGGACAGCACAGACCATGGTGGCTTCATCATCAAGAAGGGAAACGTCTTCCCTGTGGTCAAAGGGAGCTCTGTGGTCTTCATGGACTCTTCACCAACCACCATGTGTGCCAGGTTCAAGAACATTTAACAAGCACTATGCAGAATGTCATTGGGCTGAAAGAGATCTCAGAGATTCTGGCCACAGCCAGGAACACTGTCACCCTGACTATCATCCCCACTGTGAACTATGAGCACACAGTCAAAAAGTTTTCCCCCACCCATCCTCACCACATCATGGACCACTTCATCCCAGATGCCTGAAGCCACAGGAGGGCAGCTCAGGCCCTCCCACCCTCCTGCAGAAAAGGCCAGCCACTCTCGAATGTCAGGTTGCAGCCTGCCTGCTGCCCCAGGACAAGGCTTTGTTGAGGGGATATATTCCAGATGGGTGGACTATGGTGTGAGTCTGTCATTCGTACACACAGGACTCCTTAAAGCCTCAGACTCCTAGCTGGGCTGAGGCTTGGGCAGGGCCCACAGGCAACTGATTCTCTATGCTGGTTTAGTTTTTTGTTGTTTTTTTTTAGAGACAGTCTTGCTCTGTCACCCAAGCTTCAGTGCAGTGGTAGGATCATAGCTCACTGCAGCCTTTCATTTCAGGGCTCAAGCAGTCCTCCCAAGTAGCTGGGATTATAGGTGCATGCTATAACACTGTGCTATTTTTTTTTTTTTTTTTTTTTTTTTTAGCTCACTGCAGCCTTTCATTTCAGGGCTCAAGCAGTCCTCCCAAGCATGTGGGATTATAGGTGCATGCCATAACACCAGTGTGCCTTTTTTTTTTTTTTTTTTTTTTTTGTAGTTTTAGTTTTTGTAGAAACAGGGTCCCACTATGTTGTCCAGGCTGGTCTCAAACTCCTGGACTCGAGCCATCCTCCCACCTCAGCCTCCCACAGTGCTGGGATTACAGGCATGAGCCACCATGCTCACACTTGACCTTCTGTGCTGGCTTAACTGCTGGGCTTGGAAGGAGGCTGGCTAAACACTTAAATGTGCAACTGAATCCCTTTTAAGATTTTGCCTCTACCAAGAAAACAGTTACATATTTTAAGAGAAGGAAACTACATTCTGAGAACTTTTTATTTGCCTTTATTTGCTCTTTGCCAGACTGTAATAGTTATAACTTTTTATAGTCTTTTGAATAAAGATTTTATTGTAAACAAACTTAAAAAGAACTTCTAAAACTTAAAATCTATTAATAAAAACTGAATAATTATAAAATACTTACAAATGAAATTATGTGGGCCAGATGCAGTGGCTCATGCCTATAATCCCAGCACTTTGGGTG